TGGTGTTACCACTGAGTCACATCCCTAGCCCTTTTTTACATTTTATTTTGAGACAGGGTCTTGCTGAGTTGTTCAGGGCCTTGTCAAGTTGCTGAGGCTGGCTATGAACCTGCAATCCTCCTGTYTCAGCCTCCCAAGCTGCTGGGATTACAGGCGTGTGGCCATCTCTTTCTTTTGTGTCTTACTGTTGGGATATCAGATATTGACTAAATCCAGGCATTGTGAATTTGAGCCCCTTAGAAGTTCAATTACCCTTCCCTTATTAGGTTCAGGGGAGAGAACAAGCCCAGAAAGAAAAGGACTCCATGGTCCTGTGGATATTTCAGAGAAATTATTTTGTTCATCCTGTGACCAGACCTTCCAGAACCACCAGGAACAGGTAAAAGCCAGGATATAGGGCTGGATGTTAGGAACAAAAGTAGAGGTGGGGGGGGKGTGCCTGTGGTGGTAGACATTTGATTTGCCTTAAGTTATTAAAGGTCTGTGCTTTACCACTAAAGCAGTTGGTGTTACCTGGTCCCACTTCTGGAGTTCCATGAGCGGTCTTGGCTAGTACATAGGGCCAGGCTGGGCCATGTTCTACCACCTGCCTCCCGTTTTGCCTTTGTACCAGAGAGAACATTATAAGCTTGACTGGCATCGCTTTAACCTAAAGCAACGTCTCAAGAACAAGCCTCTCCTGTCTGCCCTGGACTTCGAAAAGCAGAGCTCCACAGGTGATACCTGGTGGGAGCAGGGCATGGGGTGTAAGAAGGCCATAAGGAGTTTGTAGAAAGGTTAGAAATGGGGTACCAAACTTTTATGTCCCATGTTGTCTGTCTTTAGGAGATCTTTCCAGCATCTCAGGATCAGAAGATTCAGATAGCGAAGAGGACTTGCAGACACTGAGCAAGGAGAGGGCTGAATTTGAGAAGCCCAACCAATCCCCAGGCTTCCATGCCCATCGAGTTCTTTTCCAAAATGCCCATGGCCAATTTCTTTATGCCTACCGCTGTGTTCTAGGCCCTCACAAGGCAAGTGTCTGCACAAGTTGTGTGGTCAACCCCAACTTTTTGTATGCTCAGCTTAGTTTTCTCCTTAGCTGGTTAATGTATCACTTCTTCCCATCCTTCTTTTTGGGCTTGGGTATCACATGGACAACAGTCTTTAATTGAAACTGGCCTGAATTGTGCTAGGGTCAAGTATTATAGAATTCAGTTTAGAAACAGATCAGTCTGTTTGAATTGTGGATATACCACTTATCCAAGTGGTATATCTACTACTACCTCTCCAAACTTCAGATGTCCTTCTTTATAAAATGGAAACAAGGCTCAGGGTGGTTGTAATAAATGAGGTAGTAATTTATTGTGAAGCACTTAGCATTAGCATTTGGTTTCTTGTCCTTAATGAATAAAACTATGTTCTGCTTCATATATCATGCAGGTTCCCCCAGAAGAGGCAGAACTGCTGTTTCAGAACCTGCAAAATGGAGGTCCCAGGTGCTGCGTGGTGCTCCTGGCTGCAGCTGGGCACTTTGCTGGTGCCATTTTTCAAGGGTGAGGGTGCTGTATGGGGCAAGGCTGGAATGGATCCTGCTAACCTGGGAGCACCAGCTGTTCTCCAGTACTGAGTCTATGCTGTCTACAGAAAAGAAGTGATGATACACAAAACCTTTCACCGCTACACCGTGCGGGCCAAGCGGGGCACAGCCCAGGGTCTTCGAGATGCCCAGGGTGGGCCAACACGCTCTGCTGGAGCCAATCTGAGGCGCTACAATGAAGCCACACTGTATACAGTGAGTTTAGACCTCCCAGATTTGTTGGTCCACTAATCACTCTTTGCTTCTCGTTTCAACTTGCKAAATGTTACAGTAGAGAGGTTTGGGATTCTCATATCCTTCCAGTTTTCATTATTTCTGGGTAGACAAAATAGAATAAGGGTCTCCAGGAACCTTAGTTCTTCCTCCTTTTTAAATCTTTGGATGAAGATTTAAAAATAGTAAGTGAATATATGCCAAGTGGAGTTACTCTCTTCTCTAGGATGTTCGGGACCTGCTGGCAGGGCCAGCCTGGGCCAAGGCACTTGAGGAGGCTGAGACAATCCTGCTGCGTGTCCCCCGCTCTGGCCGTTCCTTCTTCTTTGGAGGCCATGGGGCACCTCTGCAGAGGGAGGATCCCCGACTTTGGGTTATCCCCCTCACCACCCGCAGACCCACATTCCATGAGGTCCAGCGTGTGTTTCTTAAGCTGACCACCTTGCATGTCTATGGTAAGCCTCCAGTTCCAATCTTTAGGCTTCTTAGACCTTTCAGTACTCTACAGCTCAAACCTTGATTCTCTTGTGGGCATCCAGAGGATTTTTCTAACCCTGGAACTATAGCCCAGGTATGTTTTCACTGAGAAACCTGGGCTGGCTTTTCCTCAACTAAGTTTGAGAAAGATTTTGTGTTTTATGGCAGAAGACAACCCTCAGGAGACAATCAGATTGTACTCACCTCAGACATACTGGAAGACTGTGAAAGAGGAGAGGAAGAAGGCTGCTGAGGAAGAAAGAAGAAAGGTCCCCAGTGATGAAAATGAGGCACTAGGGAAGATGGAGGAATTATCCAACCAGGGTATAGGCACCATCTGGCAGTTATCAAGTCTATTTGTGTGTCTGTCTTTGAAATACAGTGGCAAAATCACTTTTAATTGACCCATAGATGGGTTTTTACACCACATATACCTATCCACATACACCCCAGTATCTGTATAAAGTAAGGTGTGTCATAGCAATCACTGTGGCATGTTTACTTGACTTTTCCAGATCTCCTGTTATCTCTTTTGTTCATGGATATATATCCCTGGTACTTAGAAAATCTTATCATGGAGTTGATATTTCAGTGTGTTGCACAAGTCTCACATTATTTGTCTGCCTGGCTGAATGCTGTTGGTTTGGGGCAAGGATTGCTGCCATGTTTTCTTCTATGCACAATCCTAGGACTGCTCATAGGAATAGTTCCGGGACAAGATAGAAATTTCATTTTAGGACAGTCTGGATCATTTCTTTATAGACATAAATGCATCTGAACCAGCTCACTCTCTGTTTATTCCTTAGATGGATCTAACCTGTCATATTTCTCCCTAGGTTCAGGGTCAGAGGGAGAACATGGCTCCCAGGTAGAATTGGAGCTAGTGGAATTAACTCGGGAGACACTGGATCTTCGAGAGTTTGAAGTATTGCCTAAGCGGAGAAGAAGAAAACGGAATAAAGAGAGAAGTCGAGACCAGGAAACTGGGGCACATACAACTCTTCTCCAGAAACCTCAAGAAAATGAGCCCTTCTCTCTGTCAGACCAGACAGTTAAAGCCCCCTTGAGGCCTTTGGTGGATAAGGCCAAGACCCCTGATCAGCCAGAGCTATGGAATGTGCTTCTAGCTGCTTGCCGAGCTGGAGACATTGGAATGCTGAAGCTCCAGCTAGCTGCTGAGTCTACAGACCCTAGAGTTAGGTCCTTACTCAATGCCCCCTCGGGCTCTGGTGGCTTCACTCTCCTGCATGCAGCAGCTGCAGCTGGAAGAGGCTCAGTGGTTCGTCTGCTGCTGGAGGCAGGTTGCAACCCCACTGTGCAGTAAGTGTCTCCACTCTGAGCCATTTTGGATATAGAGAAGATAATTTGGTGGTGGCTCATGTTGCATTCTTTAGTTGACAATATAATCTTAGAGTCTGGTTGGGTGATATTGAGAAAGACAGAAGGCAAGTTGAACCCATTTTGTGGTTTTTTTGTATGTAGGGACTCCCAGGCCCGCCCACCTTATATGGTAGCAGCTGACAGATCAACACGTAATGAGTTCCGAAGGTTCATGGAGAAGAATCCGGATGCCTATGATTACAAGAAGGCTCAGGTCAGCTAGAAGAAGGAGATGCAGAGTGGGAAGGTGTCATAGGTCCTAGCCAGGTCCTTTCTACTCCTTTGCACTTTTAACCAAGGATAGCTTTTGTGGGTCTTACTTAATATCTTCTGGAAAATCCCCCAGGTACCAGGGCCACTGACACCAGAAATGGAGGCACGGCAGGCCACACGGAAAAGGGACCAGAAGGCAGCCCGGCGGCAACGGGAGGAACAGCAGCGGAAGCAGCGAGAGCAGGAAGAGCGAGAGCAAGAAGAGCAGTGGAGGTTTGCTGCCCTCAGTGACAGAGAGAAGGTGAGGCCAGGCTCTTCCACAGCRAGACTTCCCTAGAGCTCTCACCCACTCCCCATAGTGCAGCTCTTGTTTCTCAGGCATGCTGTTCACTGCTGGGTCTTGTTTGCAATGTGACTTTGTGTTTTTCAGAGAGCTCTGGCTGCAGAGCGCCGATTTGCTGCCCAATTGGGAGCCCCTGCTCCTCCAATCCCTAACTCTGGAGTTATCAATGCTCGGTATGGGGCTAGGGTTTGAGTCAGAGTGGACTCTAATGTTGTAGGGACTATTTGGGGCAAGTGGAATGATGGTCTACATGGTTTTCAGAGGGGTTGCTGAGGGGATCTGAGATACTCTGGGAACYTTTGAGAGTTGCAAAAAGCTTGGAGTGGAAAGTTTCTGGGGAACCTGTCCTGCCATTTTTCTTCCTCTTGTTCAGACGCTGCTGGAGTTGTGGGACTTCCCTCCAAGGCCTCATTCCCTTTCATTACCTTGACTTCACTTTCTGCTCCACACGTTGCCTCCAGGACCATCGCTGTCAGGCTGGGAAGCCCTCTTCCTGACCTCCTACAGCTTCACCTGGGCCAAATGTAGGCCCTGAGAGGGCATATTGACTCCAGCCCTAGGTTTCTTCTTCCCCATGAAGCCAGAGAGTATTTGGAAGAATAGGGTGAGGGATACTCAGGAACCAGGGCAAAGATAGGGTCACAGAAGTGTATGGAGCTGGTACTGTCTCTGGAATTTTAATAAAAAGTTTGGCAAGAAAACTGCACTTGTACTTACATTCAGAGGCCTTCTGGCCTTTGGTTACCATGGCCAGCACCAAAGGATTCTGCCCACTCCATGTCCCAGGTCCAAGGGTTATCTTTCTTTCAGTGCCCACTTAACTCCATTAGTTCAGAGTCATTTTGTACATCAGGTGAGAGGGAAAGTGTCCTATGTACAGTGCTGTTAAGGATAGGTCTATCCAAGAACTGGATTTGGGGCTGTAAAGGGACATTTTCTAGCTCCAGCAAGGTGATTGTGTTGACAGCTCCCCTAGGTAACAGCAGGGGTCTTGGCACGTAGAGGGTGTGTTGTGGCCCCAACTTTGTCCAGTACCGGCCCAAATTAAACCCATTGATCCAGACTTGGCCCTGTGGGGCAATAAGAGAGTGAGAAAAGCAAAGATCAGCTCTCCAAGGGATAGAATCATCCTCTTTGGGGTTTCTCATCAAAATAATAATTTCTGCTCCCCCCCCTTTCCATAATTTTTCTTTAGGGTCTGGTTGGGTGATATTGGGAAAGACATCCTCCACCAACCACCACCATTAGCAATACCTTTGTCCATCCAGGTAGATAGAGAAATGTGTCCCCAGCTGAGCCTAAAATTGGAAACATTGTGGAGTAGAAGGTGGGGCCAGAAGGATCTTTAGGCTGTGGTCTTTTGGGCAACTTGAATGTATACCACCACTTTACAAAATGATCTACTTTCAGAGGGAAAATCATCCACTGGGTAAGAATTGTTTGCCCCAGAATTGGTGGCTCTAACAGGCCCTGTGAGAGGCAAAGGAAAAGTCATTATTTACTAAGCCTGTAAATTTATTTACTGTCCCTAATCAAACTCTAGGATGTAATTGGTGGCCATTTTCAGGTCCCCACAAGCCACTATTTCTCTTGACTCTTAAAGACCTGGCTGTACCTTACCTTCCGTTAGACTCTGGTCATTCCAGAGGAGTTGGTCAATAAGTGTACTGGGATAGACAGGGACGCAAAACTAACTCACCTTGAAGTCACTGTGGTTAGACCCAAAACTGAGCCTTCCCATGTTCTCTAGCAAGATATCCAGTTTGGTCCCTACTTTCCCCATCAAATATAGTTTGTTATCCGTATTTCTTTCCAGAACACCCTGGAACACCTGTGGATAAGAGACAGGATCTATGAAAGGAAGGGCTCAGCATTTAGTTCTTGGCCACTGCATAGAGAACCACATTAGAACACTTATTTGAAGAGTAAGGAAAATGTAGCCAACTGTGAATTACCCACCACCATTCTGGAACTCTATCCTTAATCAAGTTCTTCCTCATCCCAGGTTATAATTCTGTACCCTCTATAGATGTGAGCAGGCAGTAGGAAAGGGTAAAGATGAAAACTTAAGGCTATAGGGTGCTGGGGAAAGGGGGAAATTGGATCTCACAAATTAACCTGGAATTAGTTTCTCACCCCATCCATCATCACATAGGCACGGTCATGGACTCCATTATTTGGTACCCATAATGGTGTTGGCTCAAAAATGGAATAAGAAAGATAGGTCCGGTACAGCATATAGCCATGGTCCTGGATATGGAAGAATGAGTTTAAGATAAATTGAGATAAGAAAGGACATTAAAGGGAAATTGTAGCTAGGAAGAACTTTTCACTATAGTTGGTGAGAGTTTGCGGTTCCCACCAGATGTAGATATATGTCTTACCTGCTTCACAGCCTCAAAGGTCAATGGCATGACTGAATGGATAGGCCCCTGGGGGCACAGAAAATCTAGGAAACCCAGCAAATCCCCATCCTGTTAAAATAAGAGGCAAGAATCAGAATAAGAGGGAGGTTTCTGGATCAAGGGCAGGATAAGGTAGATATTTAGAAAGTAAAGGTATAGAATCAGAAAAGATGGGGAGGAACTTACCAGGTGCATAGTTAAAGGTCCAAGCATCATCTTGTGGCTGGGGGGAGGTAAAGGTCCCAAGGGAACTTCCTGGAACTGAGCCCAAATTCTCTCAGGAGCCATAGGAAAACCACAGAAACAGCCCCTATTCCAAGACCCTAGAGCAAGGTTCTTAACCTGGGACCCAGGGAAGGGCTTTGGTYATAAAGACTCTAATTTAGACACTATAAAGTTCACTCATGTGTAACTCAAGTGGTACCATTTGAGTGATTGGGAAATGCTTCCATGGGACACTCAGCTCTGTGGCCCAGAAAACCACCAGGAGTTTATAGGAGGATCCCATTACAATTTGGGCAGGACCTTCTCCCCGATTAATAAAAGGGCACCTTGCCAATGACATTTCGAAGAGCAAAAAGCTTAGATGTGGTGTCCCCTGCTTCAGATATGGGTGCATCGTAGTCATAGCTGGTAGTTATTGGAAGGAAGCGTCCCTTCTCATCAGCACCTAGGGTTGAACCAATTTAATTAACATATCTTTCATTCAGAGGATAGGCACTAAGCAAAGAGCTTCATGCAGAGAATTTTGCCATCAGAGCGGGCAGTGGTGGCATATCCAATTTCTAGGCATCCTAGTCCATCCAGCCCTTAGATTTTAATTCCTTGTTACCTTCCTATTTCTGTCCCAGGGGACAATCTGTACTCACCATTCCAGTATCCAAAGTTGGTGCCTCCATGGAACATGTACCTGAAWTGGGGGGAGGGGGTAAAAGCTGACCCACTGAATCTTAACTTTCATCCCCATCTCCCAGTAACAGGTTCATATTGTCTTCAGTTACATGTTCACACTGGCTCCCAACTTGAGCATGTTTTCTAGTCCTTTAGCTATAGGTTCAATGGACCGTGTGGAGTGATTCTGACCCCAGTAATCCAGCCAGCCTGTGTAATATTCAGAGTTCACCTAGAATATGAAGTGAAAAAGCCATGAAAGAGGTGAAAACCAAGCTGGACCTATTCCCATCCATGATTCTTGCTTTGATYCCCCTTCCCTCTGGTCCCTCACCARTGGCCCATGGGGTTCATACTTCTGAAGCAGGGCAAAGATTCTGGTCATGTTGTCAGCTGCAGGAAGCAAGGGTAAAAGATGAACAGTACAGAAAAGGCACCCCTTCCCCAGACTCCACTGCAAACCCTTGTTCAGGAGACCTGGCCCAAAGTCTATAGTAGCAAAYAGTCCCTTGAGGGTGCCACATTTGAGTCCGTCAGGCCCATCTGTGGTGAAGAGCAAGATCTTGTCTCCTAGTAGCGMACGGAAGAGCCCAGCCAAGTGTCTCATGTAGTTGAAGTCACAGGCCCAGTAGCTGCCATATTCATTCTCAACCTGCCAGGGGAAAGGGAAATGGGAACTATGTGGTTGAGAAGGTTAAAAACACCTCACACCTTCTTCCCCRAGCCCAGTCAACTTCCCACTTGTACCTGAATGCTAATGATGTTGCCCCCATTGTGGTAGAGAAATGGATATATCTTGGGCAGCAAGACCTTGAACCAGGAGTCCACTGCAGCAAGGAAGTCTAAAGGAAGGAGAGGCACTCTGCTCATTARGGGCCACCACCATCTCCATGGCCCCCATCCCCAGCATCCCTGCTAACAACTTCAGTGCTGCCCTTACTCTAGGCTGCAGGTTCCATCCCACTTGCCCCCCMAAAAAAACTCTGGGAAGTAGTGACTCTTAGAACTCTCAACCCTAAGCACGTATATATTTGCATGTCAATGGAAGTAAAACATAGGAAACTTTAAAGTACATGTGTTTGTTTTCATGGTTCTGGGGATTGAATCCAGGACCTTGCACATGATGGGTATAAAGTATTGTTTCTTAAAAATACATGGATGAGGGGCTGAGGTTGTGGCTCAGCAGTAGAGTGCTYACCTAGCACATGTGAGGCACTCAGTTCGATCATCAGCACCACATAAAAATAAATAAATAAAATAAAGGTATTGTGTCCAACTACAACTAAAAATATATATATTAAAAAAAAAATACATGGATGAGCCAGGCATGGTGGCGCAGGCCTGTAATCCCAGTGGCTCGGGAGGCTGAGACAGGAGGATCCTGAGTTCAAAGCCAGCTTCAGCAACAATGAGGTGCTAAGCAACTCAATGAGACCCTGTCTCTAAATAAAATACAATGGGGCTAGGGATGTGGCTCAGTGGTTGAGTGCCCCTGAGATCAATCCCCAGTACCCCCAAACCAAAACAAAAAGGAAAAAAACACATGGATGAAAAAGGCTAAATACACAGTATGGAACTATTATCATTATTATTATTTTAGTTATTGGCGGACACAACATCTTTGTTTGTATGTGGAGGTGAGGATCGAACCCGGGCCGCACACGTGCCAGGCAAGTGTGCTATTGTTTGACCCACATCCCCAGCCCTTGGAACTATTATTAAGTAATCCACTTATGCCTGAGATTTCTGTGAAGTAGCATGGGAATTCACAATGTAGAGCATCTGACTTGCACCTTCCAGTCAAATGATTTTTTTAAGTTGGTAATTGGAAGATCATTATACTAGGCATTGTGCCTTAAAATTCTCAACTCCTGCTTGTTATTTTTGTGATTCACCCTGAAGATCTTCATGCACAGTGTTTCCTCTRCCTGACACTTTTTCCTCCACCTTCCTTTACCTAACCAACTCCAATTCATGCTTCAATATTTTTTCTTCTGGTACTGGGGACCGAACTCAGGTTCATTCTACCATGAACTATATTCCCAGCCTTTCTAAGTTTTTGAGACACGGTCTTCCTAGGTTGCCCAGGCTGGCCTTGAAATTTCTGATGCACTCACTCCACCCTCAAGTCGCTGGGATTACAGGTGTGTGCAATTAATGTCCTCAAGAAAGCCTCTGATATCCCAGATCAGGATAGATCTCCTGTTAAAACACTCTCACATTATCTCATACTTTTAAGTAACTTGACAAATATGTCTGTGATTGTTTCTTGCTAATTTCCCAACTAGTGAATAGGAACCTTATCTGGAGGGTTCCTTCAATGTTGCATCCCTATCATTGAGGACAAAGCAAAAGACAGGGACTCTCAAAGGTGGATTCAATGAAAGACATTTTGGAGGATATTGTTCCATTCTTAAACCATTTAATTACACTTTATGTGTCATATAAAGGAAGCCAAATTTGTACTGCATATTTTAATCCAAGCATATATTAAATCACATTCACATATTCAACAAGTATTTATGGGTGCTGAGTATGCACAAAGCACTGTTCCAGGGATACATAAAGGAACAAAACAGACAAAACATCTGCCCTTGTGGAATTTCTAGTGATGTAGGCAGACCATAAATTAAGGAAATAAATAAGGGAATATATAATGCCAAGAACAAGAACTAAAGCAGGAAAGAAGGTCTAAAATAATGGAGTAGGAGAACTTAAAATTTAAAGAGTGGCCAGGAAGCACCRCTGAGGTGATTTCAGCAGGGAGATCAAGGGAAGACCTCAGGCAGAGGCCTCACAACCCAAGGCTGGTGGGTCTGAAGAACAGCAATGAGAATAGGGAGGTTGAGGCAGCATGAACAAGGAGAAGAGGGTCAGATGAAGGACATGACTGGGGCCAATTACATAAGACCTAGTAAATCATTTTAAGAAATACATGATTTATATTCTGAATGAGATGAAATTTTATTGTAGAGGTTAAGCAGAGAAATCTCATGATGTGTATTTAAACATCTATTTTAATAGAATCACACTGGCCACWGGATTGAGAAATGACTATATGGGAGAGAGGGCGAACAAAGGAAGTCACTTGGGAAGCTATAAGATAAGTCAGCTAAGGAGAGATCCTCTGGACCAGGGAATGGCAGAGGTGGTGAGAAAGTAGTTAAATTCAATGTTGTTGAGGGTAAAATTGACAGGACTTTCTGATGGATTAAATGTGAGATGTGCAGGAAAGACTAGCATGAAGGATTTAACACAGTGTTTATGCTGCTCAGTTGGAAAGTAGAGTTGCCATTAACTGAAATAAAAAAGACTAAGAGAGCTGGTTTGGAAGACAATACCAAGAGATTGTATCATTATGCCTTTTATTTGCCTCAATGGAGATGTCACATAGGCAGTTGAATGTATGTGTCGAAATCATGGGAAAGGTCCTGGCTATGGAGATACATATTTCAGGATCATTAAGCTATCAGATGGATTTTAATCCCATCATACAAATGAATGCAATCACCTAGGGAATGATAATAGAGAAAAGAAAAGCATCCAAGGATAGCTGTGTACACTACAGCATTTGTAGTAAAGGAAAACAGAAAAGGACAAGCAAGAGATTAAGACTAAGTGGTCACTGCTTTGGGAAGCAGGGGCACAGACCAGATAAGTGGGTATCATGGGAGATACAGTAAGAATTCACCTGTAATCCCAGCAAGTTAGGAGGCCAAGGCAGGAGGATCACAAGTTTGAGGCAAGCCTCAGCAACCCTGTTTCAAAATATAAAAAGGACTGGGGATGTAGCTCAGTGGTAAAGTGCCCTGGGTTCAATCCTCAGTACCAAAAATAAGTGTATTTCAAAGGACAGAGCAACCCAGCTGTGCTGAGGGCCACTCATTGGTCAAGGGGATGAGGAAATCATGGATTTCACACTGTAGTGGTCACTGGATTTCTTTTCTTTTTATTTCTTGGATAAAAGATGTTTAATTATTTCAATATTTATCCTTTTTTTGTTTGAAGTATAATTCAAAACTCTATACAATCCTCTGAAGGTTAAGGCAGGTATGTATTTTAAAATGAAAAGGGAAAACAAATTTCCAGCAGTTGCTGGTTTTCTTGAGCAAAATGGACTGCATGTTGGTGTTTCATTAATAATTTATCATTTTAAATATATTTATAGACAATTGGGTTTGGCATAAAGCTCTCTGGCATCTTAAGTTGTTCCCCTAGTCTCCTCTACCTTCCCTGTGTCAGGAAATAGCATCACCACTTTAATTGGCSAAATGCTTCATTCCTACTCACACTGCCCCACCCATCCCGTTCCAATCAAAATCTGTCAACAAGAGAGTAAGATTGAGTGGTCACTGCCTTGGGAACCAAGGGCAGAGACCAGATAAGTGGATATCATAGGATACAAAAGAAGTGGATTTCAACCAAGCATGGATTTCTATATCCACAGTGTATCTCAATTCTACTTTCTTTACATTTCCACCACAGTCATCTTAATCCAGGAACTCTCTTCTCTGTTCTAACTACAGTAATATCTCCATTGAGTTCTCCAACCTTGCTCCCCTCGATCTACTCTCCACATCCAGACTAAGTAATGTTAAAACAAATCAGATCTGCTGGGCTTGGTGGCACACATTTGTAATCTCAGTAACTCAGGAGGCTGAGGCAGGAGGATAGCAAGTTTGAATTCAGCCCCAGCAACTTAGTGAGGCCCTGTCTCAAAAATAAAAAGGATGTGGCTCAGTGGTAAAGCACCCCTGGGTTCAATCCCAGGTACAACAAACAAGCAAAAAAATCAAGTCATGTCATATCCCTTGCTAATTTTTTTTTAACGTGACTGTATACTGAGAATAAACTAAGAACCCCACAGAAGTCCTATAAGGACTTACACCAATTATCTGTCTCATCTTCAATATCATGTCTTATAACTATCTCCCTCACTCCACTGTACTCCACCAAGCTGATCTACCTTCCTCAGACATGAATATTCTTGCCTCACTCTTCGTATGACCAGTGCTTTCCCTTCCCTAGAAGTCAACTAAAATGTTCCCTTCTCAGAARAACCTTTTCTGACTACCCTGCAAATAAGAAAATCTCTGTTACCCACTGTCTTTAACTCCTTGTTTATAGCTAATAACCTTATTTACAAGTGGTGAATGTTTTTTTTGTTGTTGTTGTTTGTTTGTTTTTTGGTCTGTCTGTTCCACTGTTATAACCTCTACTGCACAGGGACTAGGTCTGTCTCGTGCCAGTTTCCAGTGTCCTGCTGGGCATGAAGGAAACAATATTTGAATGAATAATCTCCAAGTTAAAGATGGTCTCTTCTGTTTGAGGCACACAAATGATCCGCCTTTTTGTTTGATTTTTTTTCTGTGTTAAATCTTTTGTCTCAACTCACCTGGATCTGARGTTCTCAGATTAATTTTAGGATTCCGAAGCAACCAAGATGGGAGACCCCCCTGAGACAAACAAAGACAAAAAAGCATGTAGGTTTTGCTGTCCTGGGGTGTAGTGGGAAGGTAAGAAAGGAGAGAGTTGAATATAATGCTGGACATGCCCCTACAGTGAGGGCAGAGGGGACTATCCTAGAAACACATGGAAAGCTTTTGTTCTGTCCCTCCTCCAACTAACTCACCATCTCCCACTCTGCACAGATGTAAGGTCCTGGTCTCAGTATGACCAACAGGTTTGCTATAGCTGCCTCGTTCAGAAAGGTAAAGAGGTCGCGGCTGCCATTAAAGTTATAGACTCCAGGCTCTGGCTCATGAAAGTTCCAGGGCACGTACCTGAGAAAGTAAGAGGTTAACAGGGCCCGAGATGGGGAGATGCCAGGGAGGACTAAGGGCTCAGGCGGGCAGGAATCTCCAGCAGCACTAGGAAGCAGGTCCTGGCCCGCCCCTTATCACCCTTAGTTTAAGAGTCTGGGAGTTATAGCCTCTTTCCAGCCAGAGTCAGTCTTCAGGCCTGGACCCATCCGAAGGAACCGGTAGGAAAAGTAAATCCCGCCCCCTCCCCCAAGTAGCTCTCGCGAGCACTTCTTACAACTGTATGGCATTGAGGCCGCTCAATCGCATCTTGAAAAGCCGGTCCGCCCACAGTATCCGCGGTACCCGGAAGTAGTGCAAGCTGCCAGACACGTATCGGAACGGGGTCCCGTCCAAGAGGAACAGGCCACGTTCCCGATCCACTACGAACGACCGAGGGTCTGCCTGCAAAGGGGAAAAGCCTGTGTTCAGCAGACGTTTGGAGTGAGGGTCAGCGTCAGCCAAAAGCGGAGGAAAATGAAACTAGCCCTGCTGGCCGCTTGGTGGTTGACTTTCATCCGTCAGTCAACCCTCTTACCTGCTGCAGCAGCAGCGTCAGGAGCGGCAGCATCAGGAAGGGAAGGCAGGGCGGCTTCTCGGGAGCCATGACGCTCACGGGGCTCCTCTAGTCTGATCCGTCGGTCCGACCGTCACGTGTTGGACTCCTGGGAGGGAACCTCAGCAAGCAAGGGGCGGAGACCACCTCAAGTTTCTAGGAGGTTACCCGGGACTTTGTACCCCACCTGCAGCCAGCCACCCACACTACTCTATTAGTTTGTAAAAATCCTCTACATCTTACTACTCTAAGTGCAGTTCACGAACCAGCTTAATCAGCGTCACCTGAGAGCTTGTTAGAAATGCAGAATCTCAGGTCCTACCTTAGACCTATAGAATCAGAATTTGTATTTTAACAAGATTCCCAGGCTATCCTAAACATATTCAGTATTGAGAAGCACTGCTTTATTGGACCGAGTTCCCTGAGAGCAGGAGTGTCTTGTCGTTGGATCCTCGGTGTCTGGCACAGGGCTTGACATATAACARGTTAAATCTAGATTAATGGATGTCAGAATCAAGGAACCTTGGTCACCATGGAGATTTGGACCAGGGATGTGGAAGCAGGGAACCGAAAGTTACAAGACGGACCTTTCCCGTAGAGAGCCCCGTTTCAGCAAAAGACCATATTGAGCAAATAGAGCCATTATAATTTCTTCGGAAGGGCACTCTCCAACTTACCCTGCTTGTCTAGACAAGAGATGTCACAAACAACTGCTTGGTGCCAAGGCTTGTACTTTGTGAATTTCTATTCCTTCTGCCTCACAGTTCCAAACCTGAGGTGTGAGAACCAGGGTAATAAGCAATGATTATTATTGCTCTTTATTGATACTTAAGGACTATGTGTCAGATATTGGGCTAAGCACTTTATATCTCAAACAACTCCGTRAAATAATTATTTTCATTTTACAKATGAAGAAACTGGAGGATGGAAATAAGTAGCCCATCCAAGRTCATACAACTAGTTTAGTAAAACTGGGATTGGATTATGCAGTTTGACCTCATAGTTCATACACTTAACCTTAGGTATCATTACATCTGTTTAACAGCTAGGGAAAAGAGGATCTGAGAAGTTGTCATTTGCCAGAGGTCATGCAGATAGGAGGCTATTAGGACTGGATTTAGAAACTGACTGTCTGCTTCCAGTCTGAGCTCTTAATCACTGACTCTAGGGTAGTAGGACAAATGCCACAGTCCTTAAGGTTGGACAGGACAAGAACTCCAGGGGGCCGGGCCACCAGCACCCGCCCCTCCCTGGATCCCTCTCTGGGCTGAACCATAGTAGGCCACATTCTCCCCCAGCGCGCGGAGGTGTGAGGCCCCCTACCTCCGACATTGGGAGATGGAGGTCCTGGGGGCCTCGGGCAGAGCCCAGCTTTGCCCCCCTTTGGCGCAAGTGCCTGTGTCTTGACCCCTACTGAAGGCCAAGTGGAGAACCCTCACCCGGGTCCTGGGACCCGTCGGCCTGTAGGTCTGTGCGGCCCGGGGCCTTTCAGCTCCGCGCCCTCACATCCTCCGGATGCTCAACAGTTGCTAAGATACGGTGGACCGTTACTCCGGCGCGGGCTGATGATGTAATCGTTACTTCCGGTCCCTGGTGCTTCGCTCCGGCCCGAGCCAGGTCAGTGGGGAGTCGCGGCTGGCAGAYCCTGGGCTCCGCAGCCCGGGGTGGGCTCTGCCGGAGGTGGGCCCGAGCCTCGCACTTCCTCGGGAGCTACCCTGTGCCTTGCCTTTGCGGCCCCAAGAGCTTGGGAGCGGGATCCGTCCAAAGGTGGGCCGGGGTTGGAGGAAGCGACCTGGTAGTCGCTGCGTGGCCAGAGGCTTTAGGGCACCTGACTCAGCCTTCTGGAGCTGCTGTCTCCAGGGTCTGTTTTCTTTAGACGGGAATGTAAGTTCCGAGACCTGGGCCTGAGCTGTCCGCAATTGTACTTCAGGGCCATCTGGATTATGCCGGACCCGCGACCTGCGGTCGATTTCTTTCCAGCATGATCYRCTGGGCCCCCAGGCCATCACCTAGAAGAGCCCATTCACTCTGGACGAACCTTTTGGCAGCCAAAGTCTGTCCTTGAGAAGGATGACTGAGACATTATGGGACACGCCCTGTGTGTCTGTTCTCGTGGAACTGTCATCATTGACAATAAGCGTTACCTCTTCATCCAGAAACTGGGGGAGGGGTGAGTGTTTGGAAATCACTTAGCTTGCCCCCAGGGTTATGGTCACTGAGGGACTACATAGGGTCTGCACATGATAGGGGCACAAGGATTTTATCCCTATCTACCTCATCTGACCRAGCCTTAGCTGAATGGGTCAAGAAAGTGGATTCTGGACCCAGGCCTTCTAGATCCACCTTGTGTGACCCTGGTGAGCCATGGTTCCTTCATCTACCTAAAGGAGATGATTATCATACCTCACTGAGGTAATTGTGAGGATTAAATTAGATAATGTATATAGGTGTCCCACCCAGTTCATAAGAACTTGATATACATGTTGGCTATTATTTTATATTTATTGAGCTTCTATCATGTGCAGAACATTGTTAGGACCACAGGACCTTAACAATTTTTGTGTTCCTGCTCCTGAGGAACTCATTCACACTTCTCTTAGAGCCACATCTTGGGAGGGTTTCTACGCAATGAGAGAGGCACCCCTCCCCAAGGGAATTCCTCTGGGTCCAAGCTGTATGGGAGATGATCACGGTCCTTCACTGACCCCTTTGGCCCACAGTGGGTTCAGCTATGTGGACCTAGTGGAGGGGTTACATGACGGACACTTCTACGCCCTGAAGCGAATCCTGTGTCACGAGCAGCAGGACCGGGAGGATGCTCAGCGGGAAGCAGACATGCATCGCCTCTTCCACCACCCCAACATTCTTCACCTCGTGGCTTACTGTCTGAGAGAGCGGGGTGCTAAGCATGAGGCCTGGCTGCTGCTACCTTTCTTCAAGGTCAGAAAGTCTCTTGGTTATGGAGGGGGTTGCAGCAGATACCTACTGAAGACTGTGAGCAGTCAAGCATGTTGGGAAACAGGAGCCATGTCCAGGGTTTGACCACTTTGGATTTGGAGTTTAGAGGAGTCTAAGTGGGACTGTGGGTTTCAAGGTATGTGTGATGAAAGGATTGGTGGGCTTTGACACACAGGACAGGGATTAGGCCCAGGGAACAGAGACTTCAGAAAATCTCAACTGAGGAAACTTGTGTTGCAGAGAGGTACGCTGTGGAATGAGATAGAAAGGCTGAAAGACAAAGGCAACTTCCTGACTGAGGATCAAATCCTTCGGCTGCTGTTGGGTATCTGCAGAGGCCTTGAGGCCATTCATACCAAAGGTTATGCCCACAGGTCAGTGGGAGGGCCCCAGGTACATGCTGAGCTAAGAGGAAGAACCTCACTAAGACAACCAGGAGGTCTCCACTCTCCTTCCAAGGAAAGCCCCCTTGATATTTTTGCTCCCTGGGATTCCAAGTCTTCCTGTCCAGGAATGCTTATTGGTCTTTTTCACTTCACTCCAGGGACCTGAAGCCCACCAATATCTTGCTTGGAGATGAGGGACAGCCAGTTTTAATGGACTTGGGTTCCATGAATCAAGCATGTATCCAAGTGGAGGGTTCCCGCCAGGCTCTGACCCTGCAGGTAAGTCTCCAGGTTCCTTTGCCCACCTGTTTCCCATTCCCAATTCCTTGTGGTGCATGCCCAAATTCAGTCACATTACTGTGGCCTGCGCCCCACTTTTGAGCTYTGGGACCACTGTTCCAGGACTGGGCAGCCCAGCGGTGCACCATCTCCTACCGGGCCCCGGAGCTCTTCTCTGTGCAGAGCCACTGTGTCATCGATGAACGGACTGATGTCTGGGTGAGAAGCAACTGGGTGGGACTCTGGGTGGGAGGGGTGCAACTCTGTACCTGCTGTGGAGTGGGGAGGGGCAGTAGAAAGTGTTTGGTTTCTGTTGCATGAAGCCCCAGGAACCACAGTATGTCTCCATACCCCTCAACTTCCTTCCTGGTAACTGTCACTGATACTATACTCAGTTGCTCAGGAAGTGGTATAATCCCTCACACTGAGCTGGGTAGTTACTGCTCGTTATCGGTGCTGAAGGCAGTATCTGAGCAAGGACTGCAGAGGCCTCTGGCTAACTGGCRGTTTCTCTGGGCCCTGGGAGTGCCACTGGCTCAGGTTGGAATATTCTTTTTAGCTTTTGTAGTCTTTTTTCACCACAGAAGGGGAGAGATGTCACTTCCATCAGTTCTCTTCCAGGGACTAACCACATTGTGCTCAGTCCCTAGGTTGTGTGCTTTATGCCATGATGTTTGGGGAAGGCCCTTATGACATGGTGTTTCAGAAAGGTGACAGTGTGGCCCTTGCTGTGCAGAACCAACTCAGCATCCCACAAAGCCCCAGGTGAGCACTTAGAGGAACACCAAGCATTTCAGACTTCCCCAGGGTAAGCTGAGTTGGACCTTAGCAAGGGGGCTAGATGCCCTCCCTTCACCTTGCCCTCCTCCCTCCACAGGCATTCTTCAGCACTTCGACAGTTGCTGGCCTCCATGATGACTGTGGACCTGCAGCAACGCCCTCACATTCCTCTCCTCCTCAGTCAATTGGAGGCAATGCAACCCCCAGCTCCAGGCCAGCATACCACTCAAATCTGAACTAACCAGTGGCCACATTGAGATGGCTCCATGTGCCTTGGAAAGAGGCTCTTATCCCTCATTGGAAGTTCATCCTTTCTATCCAGGGCTGCCATTGACAGTTGGGTACCAGGGATGAGGATCTTTATCTCAGTCCTCTCTCTGCTCTTTTACCYCAGTACATAGGCAAGGGGCCTGACCGGTGGTGAGGCTGGGGGAGAAAGTGAAACAGAGAAAATATGGTRCACAACTCTGAGCTGGACTGCTGCGCTCACATCATGTTCTGCTTTCAAATCTGGAAGCAGGAGAATGTATAAACAGGAGAATAAAGTGAAAGCAGGTTGGTGTGGATCTTATTCCCAGTGTGTCTAGAGGCAGAGAAGAGATGCAAGGGGCCCAGAGTCTGGTTGCCAGTTCCAAGGGATCAGCCTGGAWAGAGGTACTGGTGTAGTCAGCAAAGTGTTTCTGTATTATTTAACAGGAGGCAAGTGTCCTTTTCTGATATGTGGGTAGTTTTTTTCCTAGCTTGTTTTAGTCGCAAAATTAAAGCTCTGACTTGAGCTAGTTTCTGCCTTTGCTAAGAACTGGGATCAGCACCCCTAAAAGCATACTCAACTATTTCTTTTCTTCTTTCACTCCCAGGGGTGGGTTACTTAGTTAAAGTAGCCCAGCCGGTTTGCCAGGCCAAGAGCCTCTGGGTGGAGACACCTGGGGAAGCTTTCAGACAGCTACCTAACTGGTCTCCCATCCTCAGCCTGGGGCAAGGGGAGTGGAGCTGGCAACCATTTTGGCCACATCTCYCTGATTTTCCTAGCTCACGCGTAGTTAATAATTAATGAGACTAGTGTGGTGTGGCAGTATTCAGCAGCCACTTCCTGTCTGCTCTGCTGAGTAAACAGGGGCCCTGCCCTTAGCTGGGCTTAAAACCTGTTCCCCAGGGAAGGGCACAGTGTCCCTGAATCACCAAGGAGAGGCGGCAAGAGCAGGTTGGCATCTCCTGCTCCTGAGATTGAAGCTTCCTCCCCCACCATGCCCACCGTCGCCACATACTGACGTCAGTGTGGGTCCTGGGGTGCCTATTAGCAAAGTTTGAATTTTCCCCCAGGGCCCTGGCAGGAGGCTCCCACCAGCTAGTGTTAGGCTGAGGCTGAAAGAAAGCACAAACAGGGAGACGACCTGACTTTTAATGGCACAGCCCTAGCTCCAGCAAAGCAAGACAGACAGTAAGCTATGCAAAGCTGCTGAGAAGTGCAATGGCAAAAACAACTCCAGATTGCCCTTGTTCCCTCCCACCCTCCAAGCTTATGATGTGACTCCATGCCTGGGAACTTCGGGCCAGCTCAGCCCCATTCCCAAACTCTAATAATGCACAGCAAAGCCTTGCCCAAGTCTTGGTTCCAGAGTTGGTGGATGCAGAAGCAGCAGGAATAATAGGGTGGCAGTCCATTCTCCAACACAGAAACTACTGGACTTAAATTCCTACTTGTAAGGAAGTGAAGACACATATCCTTCAATAGTTTGTGACAGGATAGACAGGTCCAGGGGGATTTGGTCCTCATTTCCTCCCTATTTTTGGATCCTCCTAGGACCTAATATCAAGGTCCCTGGGGTCATGATTCCTGGGCCTGGAAAGAGCCCCTTGGCAAGTCTCACCTTCAGCCATGGAAGGGAAAAGTGTCATGAGCAGCAAATAGTGAGGGCAGCAGTGGTAGCAGTAGCAGTAGCAGCAGCAGCAGCAGCACAAAGGGGAAGGCAGCAGAAGCTCAAGTATTCACAGAGGGGACAAGAAACCGTGCAAGGAAACTTTATTTTGAAAGGATTTTGCAATAAACATAGTAAGGAGGCTCCAGGCAGCTGTTCTATTCTTCTCCTTCATCCTCATCCTCATAGGAGTCGATGCCCACCTCCTCGTAATCCTTCTCCAGGGCAGCCATATCCTCTCGAGCCTCAGAGAACTCACCCTCTTCCATGCCCTCACCCACATACCAGTGCACAAATGCCCTCTTGGCATACATCAGGTCGAACTTGTGGTCCAGGCGGGCCCAGGCCTCRGCGATGGCGGTCGTGTTGCTCAGCATGCACACAGCACGCTGCACCTTGGCCAGGTCACCCCCAGGCACCACAGTGGGAGGCTGATAGTTGATGCCAACCTTGAAGCCTGTGGGGCACCAGTCCACAAACTGGATGCTGCGCTTGGTCTTGATGGCAGCAATGGCGGCATTCACATCTTTGGGCACCACGTCTCCACGGTACAGCAGGCAGCAGGCCATGTACTTGCCATGCCGGGGGTCACACTTCACCATCTGGTTGGCAGGCTCAAAGCAGGCATTGGTGATTTCTGCCACCGACAGCTGCTCGTGGTAGGCCTTCTCTGCAGAGATGACTGGCGCATAGGTGGCCAGGGGGAAGTGGATGCGCGGGTAGGGCACCAGGTTGGTCTGGAACTCCGTCAGGTCCACGTTGAGGGCCCCATCAAAACGCAGGGAAGCTGTGATGGAGGACACGATTTGGCTGATGAGGCGGTTGAGGTTGGTGTAGGTTGGGCGCTCGATGTCCAGGTTGCGGCGGCAGATGTCATAGATGGCCTCGTTGTCCACCATGAAGGCACAGTCAGAGTGCTCCAGGGTGGTGTGGGTGGTCAGGATGGAGTTGTAGGGCTCCACCACAGCTGTGGACACCTGAGGGGCTGGGTAGATGGAGAACTCCAGCTTGGATTTCTTGCCATAGTCCACAGAGAGCCGCTCCATCAGGAGGGAGGTGAAGCCAGAGCCGGTGCCCCCTCCAAAGCTGTGGAATACCAGGAAGCCTTGAAGTCCTGTGCACTGGTCAGACTGAAAGAGAGCAGAAAGAGAAAGAGAGCAGTATAAGTAGGGGAAGGACCCAAGGAACTCTCTCTTGTAGCTATATGTAGCCTAAAGTATCTGAGAAGTCAAGGAAAAGACCAATCTGTATTCCATAGAAGCTCACATTCTGCAACACATATTTTCTGAAATGGATGAAAAAAACTCCCTCCCTTCCACGACAAATTCTTACCAGCTTACGGATCCGGTCGAGGACAGGGTCAATGATTTCCTTGCCAATGGTGTAGTGACCACGGGCATAGTTGTTAGCAGCATCCTCTTTCCCAGTGATGAGCTGCTCTGGGTGGAAGAGCTGTCGGTATGGGCCATTTCGGATCTCATCTGGAAAGGGATAAACCACATTGTTGGAACAAAACCACAAGGCTGCATTCTGCAGGGACCTTCCCCTTGGGTGGTAGTTGTGGCCAGATATAGAGAAGAGCTAGCTCATCCTTCTGCCAGCCTAAGATACCATAGTGTGAGAGAAACTCAGACCTGCTACAGCCCCGCCTGCTTGAGGTCAGCTTGCCTTCTTTAGCTTCAAATAGGGATAGGAGTTTTCAGGACCCGGAAAGTGAACTCTAGACACCCTCTCTCAGTCACTCTTCTCTTTCCTCAAATTTGCCCCCTCTACTCACCAATTACAGTCGGCTCCAGGTCCACAAAGACGGCCCTGGGCACATGTTTTCCAGCACCAGTTTCACAGAAGAAGGTGGTGAAGGAGTCGTCCCCTCCACCAATAGTCTTGTCACTGGGCATTTGGCCATCAGGCTGAATCCCATGTTCCAGGCAGTAGAGCTCCCAGCAGGCATTGCCCATCTGGACACCTGCTTGCCCCACATGGACTGAGATACATTCACGCTAGAGGGATAAAGAGAGGGGTAGGCACATCGTAAATGCCACATCCACGAGTCCTCACCTCATGTTCCTCTCTCCCATCCTATAACCAGCTGGGATGATTCAGTTGGCAAGAAGGGAGGCTTAGGCTGGCAGCCTCCCCAGGATCTCCTACACAGGACTCCCTAGTTGGAGGTACCAGGGAGGGCAGGCAACTCCTGAGTCTATTTCACAGTGGGAAATTTGTCAAGTGAGAGCTGTGGCTCAGCATGACCCTGTCACATTGACAGGACACTGAGGACAGAAAGGGCATGTGCATGAGACCAGCAGAGGCTGCAGCTTCTCCCAATCCCTGCTAACCACAACCCGCTTCTCCAGGTTTTCCAGACTTAGCCAGAGGCCTCCCCACTTAATATTTTGATTTTGGGAGGAACTTGAATTTCCTATAACCCTTTCCCCTTCTTTATGGTGGAAGCAGAGGTCTTTCAGCCTTTGGATCAGCTGACCACCCTAGTCATCAAAATGCCCTCTCTCCCCACCTTTAAATCCCATCTGGCCCTGGGGATCAATCCCATCTGGCTCCTCTCCCCACATCCACCCCCGCACTCTGCATGTCTTCACCACCTTCATCCACCGCGACAGCCCGCACGGAAATAGCAGCGATAATGCTGGTGAGCAGACAGTAAGGGCGGGCAATTAGGGTTGTGGGCACTGGGGCATTCACTGCCTTAGGTATTGCCACCAAGTGTCCGAAATTTAACCCTTGCAGCACCAAATTCCGCGCACCTCCCTTCCACAACGAAATGGCGGGGTGACAGTTTCCAGATACCCAGAAAAGGAAGCGGAACCTGTGGTGAGGCCCCAGAGGTAACCCGCCTTGCCCCACGAAGGGTGAGCGCCATCCTGTACCCAGGCCCTACATCCGCTTTCCCCCAGGAGTCTTTCCAGTTATTTCCTAGCCGAAAGTGAGGATTGAGTTTCGGCCCCCGCTCCTAGGCTATAAATACCACCCCCCCACACACACACAGCTTTCCCCTCCCCCCAACCTGGCCTCTGTCTGGGCTGTCGCTCAATGCCAGCTGTCTCTGCCAGTCCTCAGCGCACCCGCAGGAGAGAGGCTGGCTCGCCTCAAGAGGCCGAACCCCATTCCCGCCACCCCTCCCGGCTCAGAAGCGGGGTGCTGAGTCACCGGAGGGGGGTTGTGGGTGCGAGAGATGCACCCAGGTAGGAAAAGGGGATGCGGCACCAAGTAACTTGACCCCTTCCACCTTCTTGAGCCAAGCACGTGTTCTGTCAGTTGCAGCGACTGGGGATGGGGGGGGATTGGGGGCAGGGGCAGCCAAGCGGGTCACGGTGGAAAGGACCTTTTGGCTCCCTTCAGGAGGATTGGGGCACAAACGATTGGGGAGACAGGAGGGCATTGCTAGGAGGGCTCCTCTCTGCTAGTGGAAAATCCCACCCGGCCGCCCCCCCATCTCCAGCCTCTGAAGGTGGTCAACTACCAGGCCAAAGTCACCCCCGGAGGGGGGCTGGGCATAGTGCAAAACCCCTGTACCTCCTTGAGACCCGGAACGCTGGGCGTAGGGTCCCAAGTATCCCTGGAGGGAAGTTGCCTAGAAGGAGAAAGACAATTAGGGGACAGGACGGGCGCAATCCCGGCGAGGCCCACTCACCATGGTGAGTCCGGGTGGTGCGTCTCACGTAGAGTCGGGGTGACGGGTCTCAGTGAGAACTGCGCTAGCTGCAGTGCCGCACCGCTCTTATAGGCAGGGGGCGGGGCCCGCGAGTTCCGCTCGCCCACTAGGGGCTGGGTGACCCAGAGGCCACGCCCTCATAGGGTAGGCGGTCCCGAAGGTGGGACTACGCCGGGTGCTCGCCCCTTGCCATTCCTGGGTACCTTACCTGTCAGATTTGGGTTAGGACTAGCGCCCAGACTTTAACCCTTCGATTCCCGTTCTAAGCTGACACCCCAGGCTCCAGAGAACCCGCGCAGGGATGCAGGGTGCGGTGACACTGCGCGTCTCGCTTGCACCTGCGTCATGAGGGCGCCGGTCGTTCAGCTGTTCTGACTTAAGTGTAAGGGTGAAATCTTCCTGGCTGCAAACGGCAATCAAAATCGCCGAAGGCCCTTTCCGCCCCGCCTCCCTGGAGGCTCCTTTCAGCTGTACCCCTTCTAGTCGCACGCCGCCTGCTGGTCCCGGTGGTGACGACGGGTCTTGGCCCACACCTATGGGAGGCCCAGGACCGGAGCTGCACAGCCTGAGTCCCAGGGTRCCCAGTCCTTAGACTTTCCTGCAGCACCGAACCCGAATCCTGTCAGCGAGGATCGACCCTGGGGAATCTCCTGAAACTTTCCGGCGGCCAGCTGATCAGTGGCCCCTTCATTAGCGTGGTCACTATTGGTGAGCAATCACTGTGGCCTCCAGAATCCTGGAGCGCTGGACCTGAAGCCCTCTGGACCTGGAATCTTATTCAGATTGTGCTATGTGACCTTGGGCAARTGACTTAATCTCACTGATACCTTAGATTTTCAGCAGAAGCCATTCCTACTTTGTACACTTCATTTCCATTTTTACAAGGTCATGTCTTTTCAAGTGATTTCTGCTTTCCCTGACTTGCATTACATTTTTCTGTCTCTCGCCATTGGGGAATTTCCTCAAGCAGTACCCATGTGCTAGTTCTTAAGAATCCATCTCCCAGGACAAACGATTACTGCCTTTCTTCCTATCCTGTTTTCCCAGGGCCAGGACTGTCTGACAATGCAACACAATCCCATAAAATAACTAGTGACAGAAACTTTCTATCAACAAAATAGTTAATTGGCATTTGACTTAGGCAAGGTGTAGAAAAGAATACAATGAAATATGACAAAAGTCTCTCTTCCCAGTGGACTTGCCATCTAGTTGGGAAAAGAAGTCTTCATAAAAAGAAATCCAACAAGGGYTCATAGGAGGGCTCCTTGGGAAATGGGGTCATGACCTCTGCAGAGGATTGGTGATCACGGGACACAGATCTTACAAGCTCT